TGAGGCCCTGTGAAAAACCGGTGAAACGTGGAACGTGGTGCCTGGTGGTGTGAAGCGTGGTCTACGTGCGTGTGCGATCTCCGGTGTGGACGGCAATCGGCATGCCGATCGGTACCGCGTACGTGTAGAGTCATCCAGGAATCGCCAAGTTTACTCGTTGTACTTGATCGGTTCAACGTGCGTTTTCATTACGTTCGGTTTGTCGCGTAGCCAAGTTAATTTACAAGAGGAGAACGAGGTCCGTGCTCCAGACGCGAAACGCTGGAGCTGTGAAATCGGTTGCGATCTCGGAAGAGCTTGAATCTCACCGTCTCGAAGAAGTCGATAGTCTCGTAACTCCTGGCGGACAATTTGTGTCGCATCCTCGAGCGACTCGAATCGTAATTTTCGCCGACTCCGGACGAATTCGAGTCGCGTCTTCAAGGCTGGAGCATCGGGTGCACTGAGAAAAATGTTCTGGTTGTATCAACGAGAAGTACAAATTTAAATTTTGATCATACGAATCAGAATGATTATTACATAATAATTGAAATCGGCAATGGTTATCATAATTGAATTTTTCGATTATTTTGATTAGATGTTTGATATAAAGTTAACTATAAATATCTGATTTTTGCACCTTTCTAGTTGAATCTACGAGAATTCCAATTAATACAACGAGACTTTTTCTCCAGTGCAGTGACGGTTGCGTCGATGACGGCGGGATAAACGCGGATCGTGAGATATTAAATCTCGAGTAGATCGACAAGATCGAGTTAGGCAAAGATTCAACGAGCGAGAGGTTGTCCTGGTCGGCGATTTAAATCGCGGTCCGGTTTAGGCGGTTTCGTTTCAGGCAACCGTGATGCGGGTAGCCGGTCGGCCGGGAACCTGTTTTTGTGTCGACGGCCTTCAGTGAGTTTTTGGAAATGCGCTTCCGGTCGACGGCGACGACGATGACGACGACGACGGCGGCGGCAGCGGAGCGGGGCGCGGTGTATTTCTGTGCCGTGTGAGGGAGAAGGGAAAGAGAAGTTCCTCGAGAGACGAGGGATTCCTCGGGAAAGGACCGTCGCCGTCATAATTATATATATACATCGCTCGAAGCCATTCTCGTTACTGAAATTATCGCGCTTGACAATTTCATTGCGTTACGTTAACTTATCAATGCAATTAGGAGAAATGTTCGTCGCCGTTTTCGTTATTTAGATGGAAACATCAATTTTCTTTCTCCCTCTCTATCTCTCGCTCTCTTTTATTGTTATAATATTATTCTAATCATCTCGTGATATCGACAAGACTCATTAAATGTTAAGCGTACAGTAGGAAGAGGAAGAATTTTGTAATTATAATTTGCAGTACTGGTGGAGATAAAAGTGACGATAATTTTCGGTATAACGAGTGTACTTTTTATAATTGTGCGAAGAAGAATGTACTCTTGAACTAAATAATTAATTTTTCGATCGATAGGATTCTTCTTTGAAAAAGAATTTCTGAGTAAAAAAAAAACGTTACTCTGAATCGTGGGAATAGGAGCGAAATAATTGACCTGAGAAACGTCTTGCGATTGGAATGTGCATTCAATGCGGTCAATAGTTTTCTTCCTTCGATTGAGGACAACATTGATCAATGAAAAGAAGGAAGGAAAGCATTTTGAATTTTGAAAAGAGCTAAAGAAGCAATATCTCACTATTAAACCACGTGAAAAAGTAAACTTCTCTTAAAATTAACCAAAAAGAACATAGTAAAAATTTTTTCTATTTATATTAAAATTGGTCTTTGTCAAAAGTTTTATGTTGAATTTCGAACATATCTGAGTGTTAATTTAATATGTGATCATGTTATTTAGATAGTTATGTTGAATTAATATTAAACCCCTTTTTTAATTTAAAATAACACAGTTTATTGTGCAAGTGAACAAATAATACAAAAATAATGTATTTCGAGACGTACGTTATAAGATAAAAATGGATGAAAAATTTTAGAAATTTAATTTAATATATTATAAATGTTAGTTTTACTAAAAAAAAATATATTGCTACAATTTATTTATGAATTGTATCAGTGTTGTATTTTTGTGTTAATTTCTTACATATAATATTTATGTTCAGGGCTCGGTAAAATAATTGATACGACTTATTTGAAATAAAAAATATAAAACAGGTTCCAAGAACTTATTTAAAATATAAAATAAGAAATATGTATTTTTTTAAATAAACGTGTTTGAAATAGTAAATGCTAAAAATATTTTAATGATTTTGTTTATTTGAATATATAAATGTACAGTTATAAGTAAAACGTTTCAGTTTTTTTTATAGCTATAGCCTATAATTAATACTTAATAATATTAACTCTCCGCGAACCAGATGAAAAATCATCATGGATATGTGGGTATCTCATACCCCACATGCTATACTTTATCGTAAACATACTATAATTTAATTACTCACCGTTACTTTTTCCGACAGATCGGTAACTGATACAATTTATTTGAAGTAAAAAATATAAATAGTTTTCAGAAAATTTTATTTAAAATACAAAATCGACAAAAAACTGATACAACTTATTTAAAATATCAAATAAGAAATAGGTCAGAAGAAGTTATTTAAAATGATTAATACTAAATAATTTTTTAATTTTTTCTTTATGTATTTAAAATATGTATTTTAAATAAATTTATTTGAAATAAGACCGAGCCCTGTTCATGTTACTTCTTAAATGTATTTATCTAATATTGAATGAACTATTTAAGATTTGTGAAATATGTTAAGTTGGACACAAATTTTCCAACTGTGAACATAAATAAAATGTGTAGCTTGTTAAATATTTTGAGAAACTGTAAAAGTATTTAATACTTTGACCTGATCAAATGCTTATTGTTGCTCATTGGATTTTAGTTTTTTTTTTATCGTACACTGTACGCAAATAATAATTATTTGTTTCAAAAGTTCACATATCCGCAAATCTATCACAAGTGCATCACGAGCATCAAGTTTATTCAAAATATATTCTAAATCCTAGAAAGTCGAATACTTTAATTAAAATGATTAAATTAATACAAATTTGATTTGCTTATTATACAAAGCCGCTTCTTCGATCAATTTTATAAAATATTGTTCAAAAGAAAATAAATTCTTATTTTGAATAAATATATTAATAACATTTTCTAAAATTTGTAATAAGTATATTTTAAGATTGTTATCAAAGAAATATTCTTTGTTAAAGATAATCGTTAGTTAAAAGAAAGAAAGTAAATTGAGTAATTACTTTTCTTAGAAATAGAATAATATTTTTATGTGTGTATGAATCGTTCTTCAAGCGAGAAGCTTATTAGCAAAAAATACATCATTTTTCCGAGGTAATTGCGGCGCGTGTAATTGTACTCTTTATAATGAAGACCAAAACGAATCTATGAGAAAAAAATCGCAATTTTAGTTCCCGGAAAAGGTGGAAAAAAATCTCAATGGCTGAAAATTTAGCTTGAAATTTAGGTCCAAAACGCGCTAGAAGAAGATCTCTCTTGATGCCTCTGGGATCGTCGAGAGAATCGATTTGAGAGATTGGGACGTCGAGGCCTTCGAGGGGCCCGGCCCGCGTGGTTTCCGAACGAAATCGAGCGCTTCACGCTACGTCGCGTTCGAAGCCCGGCGTGCAAGGGAAGAAAAAGAGGCGTGCATTGCACGAATGGCAACGACGAGACTTGTTGTGTCGTACAGCAGTGGCTGCGTGACCGAGCAAGGCGAACGGGAGCGAGTGTGTCGAGTCTCCCCGTGCGCGGAGAATGGCGTGAACGATCAACGAGGAAGGGAAATTCGCTACGACGAACAGAGAAAAACGGGTCAGTCGCGAATCTCGGAACCACGGAGGTCGCGTCGCCCGAGATCCTCCTGATGCGTGATATCGATTGTCGAGCGAAGATTGATATTTGCCACGTTTGCGAAATTCGTCTCCTCGACAGGAGACACGGTGCAAGTGTGATCTCGCGTGTTTCTTCGATTTTCTTGATTGTGAAATCGAGGCGATCTCGATTGAAGTCTGAGATAGGAGGGAAACGTGCGCGACAATCGGAGAAATCGCAAAGTATTGGCATATCCCAGCGACATTCGTTTCTCTACTTTCAGAACAACTTCTCTTTACATCGTTTTTCATTTAGTATCGTGTAAATTATTCTCTTTAGTATTATTCCATTTTTGTTATCTAAATTATATTAAAATCTAGATTCACACAAACAGCACTATTGCTGATGTCTTACCTTTTCATAAAACTGGGCATGTATTTGAAATACTTTTATTTAAAACACTGTTTGCAATACAAGCGTATTTTGTATTTTTTATTTCAGCGGATATATCACATAAAAGTATTTTTGTATTTAAAATTGAAAGGTTGAAACAGTTTTGTACTTTGTAATTGAAATAATAAGGTTGATTGTCAATATTAGTATTTGAAATACACACAAAATACCAAATATATTTGTCTTACCAGTACTGTTTTTCAAATAAAAGTATTTCAAATACGTATCCAGCCTTGTCTTTTGAGGTGCTAAATTACCCCGTACTCACGTTTATTTTATAAATTTACATTGCACATTTTATCCATAAGTTTTTTCTTACAATTATACAAAAATTATACAAAAAGAATCATGGTAAAAAAACATTTTGTATTTATTAAAACCGGTCCTTAAAGGAGTCACTTTTAAAAACTAATGGGCTCGAAACAATCGTACTAAAGATATTTTTCTGGATCGTGACCTAACACTTATTTGGTCCATGTGTTTAGAACTCTGACTTTGTTTTGCGAATTTCTCGGATCAGTATAATAAACGGGATTCTTCCTCTTCACGCTACACACTCTTGAGTCATCGTGAGTCTTGTCATTATATTACAAAACTGTGTAAATAATCTCGTGTTGAGGAGAGGGAGAATTGATGTTTTTTCTTAAGGACGGAAATTAAGTAATAACGAAATCTGAAAGACGGCGAATCTGTTTTGATTGCTAATCATTAGTGTTGCACAATATCGAAGGAGAACGACATAGAGGCAGCACACAGACCGATCTCTACAAATTCCGGAGCAATTTCTTCAAGATTACTTTCGACGAAGAGAGGCGTCAAGAGGCATCAAGAAGTGGCGAATATTCGAGTGTCAAACGTGTTCTTTCCTTTCCAACGGAGAACGTCGATGACGAAAGAACTGTAATATTGATGATTACTGCACAATTTTGTTTTTTCGTTTAACGGCAGGACGGCGAAGTTTTAAACGCAGCAATCACTTTTGCGCAAGAATCGTACCAACTATCGATTGGCGATCGCGCGATCAGCGTGATACATACGGTCGTGTAACGATGCGATCGCGACGGAGTTGCCTGCGAAGTAAAATCGATCCGTCAATCCCACGTGGTTCCACGTAAAGGTACGGACGTCCGAGAGAGGAGATGCTCCAGGGGTCGCGAATGATCGGCGGAAGTGCGCGAGGGAGCGGCCCGTGAGAGAATCGTCCTGGTGGATCGCGCGCACAGGAGGACTGGGAACGTCTTCTTCGTGTTAGGAGGATGGACAGGAGCGATAACAATATTGTCGGAGTTGGAAGTGGTGGAAGTGGCGGAAGTGGCGGCGGTGGCGGTGGCAGCGGCGGCGGCGGCGGCGGCATCGGCGTGAGCTGTCACGTGGGAAATTCTGGATCCCCGCCGAACTCCACCTCGTCGACCCACGGCACCATGCACAACTCCTCCGGCGGGTTCGACGGCCAGGTAGCGCATCCCAAGATCTTTAAGTCCGATTACGAAAGGTCTTGTGTAAATATTTGCGCGGTCGTTATATAACTTGTTCCCGAATAATTCTTGGCAAATTCGATTGTCACAAATCTTGGAGAGTCTCCTGATTCTCTCGAAATCGTTCTCTATCTTATCCCGTTGCGGTGTTTACTAAAATCAAATTAATGTTCGAAGTTGAAATTCAAGCGGTCGTTACTTGATTTACATCAGAACTATTTAGAAGTCTTGGCGAAAATTTTTCTTGGATTTCTTCATAAAATTATTCAGATTTTTATATAAAATTAAAAATTTCTGTATACTTTTCAACTGTTTAAAAAAAGTTCTCAGATTTTTTGTCATACGAACTGGAACACTTTTTACAAGTTCCGAGATAGTCTACATCTTTTTCGAAATTCTTTATATAGAGTAAATATAAATATCGCTTAAGGGGATCTTAAACAAAATTTCTGTATAATTTTATAACTTTTTAGAAAGTTTCTCAATTTTTTTAGTGCGAATTAGATATTTCTCAGAAGCACTGAAAAAATTTGCATTTTTTTCTAAAATTTTTCATGAATTCTGAAATATTCATACATTTTTAGGATTTCTCATCTTATAATTTCTGAAAAAAAAAAAAAATGTATGAAGTATAAATAGTTCAAAATATTTCTCCAAAGTTTTCATAAATTTAAAAAAAAAATATATATATATGACAAATTCTTAAAATTTATGAGATATTACAAGAATATTTTCACCAGGGAAACGCTGCGCTTACGTTTGCATATGAACTGATAGGAATCGAGGTGTGCCTAGAAGTCATAAGTGATGAATACGGCATATTATGGTTTTGTCTTATTGGTGTCACGATAGTCAATAACGGGGATGTTTATTAAAATATTCTCTCTCTTTCTCTCTTCTTCTATTACTACTTCCATTCAAGTTTATCCTGTACAAGATACCGTACCTGATCAAATACGGGATTAGAAATAACTTTACTACGTGTCGCGTACACGAGGGCGATAACTCTGCCATTTGATACGGGATATTGGATTATCTGACGATCGCTTTCCTGCGCGGGAGAAGATCTCCTGTAACACGTGCTCTCAAGTGATTCACAAGTCCATCCGGGGACTAAATTTATCACAGCGAATTGCAAGACTCGGGCACGTTTTAACGGTGAAATTCGCCGGTCACGCACGACCCATTGTTACAGCCTCGCCAAAATTAATCTAATTATCGTGCCTTAACGCTCGATGCTCGATGATGATTATCGTTAATTTAACCGGCGCGTATTTCAATGAAAACACGCCACGGAGCTAGGAATACACGCGGCTTCGCGGAATGTGTATAATTACACCATTGTATTCGCTTCCACGTGTGTAGTGAATGAATTATGGCTTTTAATTAGGCGATGCTGTCGTCTTCTAACCGCTGGTTAAACGTTGTCTCATTATGTGTGTAAAAATAAAATGTTAATTTATTTAACATATATGAAGTACCGTTACATTTTTACGTTTGTAATTTTTACCTTTATTTCGACGTAATTAAGAGAAGTTTCGTGAATGTAAATTTGTAAAGTTCATACCAATGTAACAATTTTACTGAAGTATCTAAAACTTTAGCTACAGAAATAAATTTGGAAATAATTTTGTTGGATCATGTTAAAATAATTGTGTAGGACACTTAAACATAATGATCAAATGCTGCAGAAAGTTTTGATATTCTAGCAACCAAACCCATCTTCAGTGTTATGTACAATTTATATTTTAATGGTCTAATAAAATTATTTTTAGATCTGTATCTAGCTAAATTTGTAGATGCTTTAGGAAAACTGTTCTTTTCGTATTGCGATTTCAGACTTTTCGCTAATCTTGTTGTACGGAATAAAGACAGAAGTAAAGACTTTACTACGCTTTGGTCGCCAACTATTATTACCAAGATGATTTAAGGTGTTGTCTTGTCGCGTGACATGACAGTGTGTCTTAGTGTTTGTACGATATTATCTTATTTAAATATATGACTTATAACTGGGCTTATCTCTATTTGATATTAAGAGATGATGTAAGTACACGAAAGCGTGCCTTTCAGCATAATATTATTGTAATCATTTAATAATAATATGCCAACTGACCATAGCGATCGTATCACTAAACGTATCTGTAAAGACGTTTATATGACGACGTTAGCAAGAAACGCGATCAAAAGTTATCGGTAATGTAATATACAGGGTGTCCCGTTTTAACTTAGACATCAAAATATCTCGAAAACGATGCATTAAAAAAGTGTTTCAAATAAAAGTTGTAGAGTTTGAAGAGGACTATCAGATGAGCTACTTAGATTTTGGGTCTAATAAAGCTCAAGTTGTATTTCAAATAAAAGAACTTTGAGCGCTATTTTACGCCTGTTGGAGGTTTAGCGAAAAATTATCACGAACAAATTTTCTTTTTTTTCCAATACAAATCTTCAATGAAACATTGACGTTTCTATTAAAAAATTCAACTTAGGCCTTACTGGCCTTCATTCAAAGTGAGCTCTAGACTCAAAATTTAAGTAGCTCATCTGACAGCCCTTTTTAAACCCTACAATTTTTATTTAAAATATTTTTTTACAAATGCATTATTTTCGAAATATTTTGATGTCTAAGTTAAAATGGGACACCCTGTATAATAGGGATCTCTTTAAATAATGTTTATATCTCACCAGTTTTATTATTCATATACATGAATAAAATATTATTGGCATTAACAATGGATGAAAACACGGTAATAATCCGCAATCTTTCTGTATCTTTGAATAAAACATTATTAAAGTAAAAAAAGGGTATAAGAATTATACAAATATTCAGTTAGTTTTAAATAAATTAAAGCATCAGACACAATTACTTATTAAAACTATTTTATTTTTGTGATATGGAAGAATAATGATAGCTTCAAACACATGTTTCATCTAGTGAAAAGTGTCTCATGATATTAAAAAAAAATTTTCATATTTTAAATTCATAAAGATTTAAAAACAATTAAATTAAACTTCTTCAAATTTTATAATTTTTTTTCGAAGAAAGAAATTAGATCTCAACGTGTTAGAAGCTATATTATTAATTTTTTATACCACAAAAATATAATGGAATTTTAGAAACCTTAAAATATTGTAAATTCAAAATACATAAAGAATTTTAGAAAAAATTTTTTAGTATATACATACATTTTTTTATGCAAACGTTCCAACTTGTATAAAAAATCTAAAAATGTTTTAAAAAGTTAAAGTTTAAATACACTCATATAAATCGTTAGAAGTTTTAAAAAAATTATGGGAAGAATTCTGAAAACATTTTTCACCGAAGTCAATGAAATATGTTAAAAAATAGTTTTTCGGAAAGTTTAATTATATTCTAGAACTATCAAACGATATTTTTTCAGTATTAGCAAATTATTCAATGTTATCTTCTCTTCTTTTTCATTTAAGACTGGTGACAGAGGTTGGGAGATCCACCATATTAAGGTGACCAGAGTCCCTGGTTATGGCTTTGGAATAGCTGTGTCAGGAGGTTGTGATAATCCTCATTTCACTAATGGCGACCCAGCGATCGCAATCTCTGATGTGCTCAAAAACGGCCCAGCTGAAGGAAAATTACAGTAAGTTTACCACAGCAAATAGCAATCAATTTTTTAAATGCATTTCGAATTGTTTAATATACATATATATATATAGAATAATTTCTCTCTCTCTCTCTCTCTCTTTTAGTCCATATAAAGATTTATTGCAAATTGATAAGAATTGATTTTTAGTCTTTGGGTTACTTTTTTAAGGAAAATTTAGCATTATCCGGTATTTGCCAGCTTCGATTTTATAATTTAATATAATCCTTGTAGTTAGCAAGATTATTATTTGAAAGTGTATACATATCATTAATAGAGTGAACGACCGTATTATTTCCGCCAATGGAAAATCATTGGAAGGGGCCGATTACGCAAAAGCTGTGCAGGTTCTGCGGGATTCCGGTTCTACCGTTTTACTAATTGTTAAACGAAGAGCTTTCTCGAATTCACCCAGTTGTTTAGGCAGCGGAGTACCTCAGAGTCACCGACTTACACTTACGCGAAACAACAAAAAGGATGGTACGTAATTAAACAGTATGTAACACTTGTGCGATGACTTGAAGGTCTCAAGCAATATACATACATATACGTCTAGCTTTCGGTATCTTTGTCAATTTCGTAATCCGATTTGAAGCAATTAATCTCATTTAATTTAATTTAATCTAACTTGTTTTAATTGAATTCAATTTAATTTAACTTTTTGAGTTAATATTTAGTAGATACGATTTCTCATTGAATCTTCAAGCTTTTTATTCAGCTCTTTATTATAATTTTTATCTTTACAATGTGTGCGAGACAAGATGCAGTAATTTACTGCCTTGATTTCTAGACTTCGGCATAGTCCTGGGATGCCGATTGTAC